AGGAAGTAAAGGGCTAAAGGTGTAGGGAAAGTGGGAAGGGTGGGGGAAAGGTAATAAGGGAGAGGAAAAGAATATGAGAAACTGAAAAAATGGAAATAAAGTGTTTGTAAATGGGGAGGGGAGGAGGAGGTGAAGGGAGGGCAGGGACAAGGGGAAAAATGAGAAACAAGACCTATTATGTAAAGGTACAGAATCCCAATGATGAATGTAATTGTATTGTATACCTAGATTGTACCAATAACCTCAATAAAAAGAAAGAAAAAAAAAAGGAGACCAATTTAATTGAAGTAGAAGTTAGAAAAATCTTTTCTGAAGTGGATTTTGCATTTTAGTAGATAAGTAGGTTTTAACTACCTTTGTAAAAGCCCACTGAAACTGTGAGAAACCCAACATTACCGTCAGTGTGTGTAAGGTAATTTTTTTTTTAAACTGAAGTGTTCTAGATGCCCTGGTGAATATAGTGCTCACCCTGAGCCCTTCACCCAAACACATGGGAGTGAGGACACTGGTTTTATTCTGACAGCAATTCTGGCTGTCAATCCCACACTGGATAACTAGATATTGTTCTATCAAATTTGTTTTTGTTGTTGGTTTTTTAGGGGCTGATACCAGCAATTGGGCCCACGGCCTTGTAAATGCTTGGCATTTACAAGTCAGTGAGCTACATCTATAGCTCATTTATTTTGATTTAGGATTTTGCTGAGTTACCCAGGGTGGCCTTGAATATGCAATCCTTCTGCCTCAGCCTCCCAAGCAGCGGGGATTACGTGCCACCTACCTTATTCTTGTATCAGTCTCGTACCACCTGGTTATACTACCCAATATGCTGACTCTATAAAACCATCTTAGTTATTTTATCTCATTCTGATATTTTAAGAAAAAAAAATCAATAAAGGGGGGTGCATAAGAAGATAAAAGTATTCAATGTCATAATTATTAAAAAACCAGTAGCAAAACCAATCCAAGTAAAGGACTTAAAGAGCTCAAGAGACTATGTAGCAACATATTTATTTATGATACATATTTTAAGTATAATACAAGAGTTGACTGTATAGGCAAATATAAATAACTGATTTACCAAGATTGGGAAGATGTGGATGAAATCAAATTTACTGAAGTAGGAAAAACATTCAAAGGCTCTTCACCATTTTCTCTCTGCCTGGCTTCCAACCTAACCTGCTACCATATGCTCGCATCTACTTATCCCCAAGTGACAGCGATATGCACTTGATCAACCTAACGTGGCTCTGGTGATGACTGAATCAGAGGTTAAGAGCAAAGGCTTTGGAACCAGTCAACCACAGATTTAACACCTGAAATTGCCACAGGCAGCAAGACAATAGGCAAGTTATTTACTTCTCTAACAAAGATATAATACATTTATTAGGTCTATTTAATACAAGCAACAGAAATAAAAAATTAGCCGGGCGTGGTGGTGCATGCCTGTAATCCCAGCACTCGGGAGGCTGAGGCAGGAGGATCACTTCGAGTTCGAGACCAGCGGGCTACCTATGATATGCACTTGATCAACCTAACGTGGCTCTGGTGATGACTGAATCAGAGGTTAAGAGCAAAGGCTTTGGAACCAGTCAACCACAGATTTAACACCTGAAATTGCCACAGGCAGCAAGACAATAGGCAAGTTATTTACTTCTCTAACAAAGATATAATACATTTATTAGGTCTATTTAATACAAGCAACAGAAATAAAAAATTAGCCGGGCGTGGTGGTGCATGCCTGTAATCCCAGCACTCGGGAGGCTGAGGCAGGAGGATCACTTCGAGTTCGAGACCAGCCTGGGCTACCTAGTGAGTTCCAGATCAGTCTCACTACATAGTGAGACCCTGTCTCAAAAAACCAAAAAAATTAGCTTAAGCAAAATGGATAGTAGGGAACTCACTGAATCCCAGAGAACAGTAAAATTAAGCCAGACCCAAGGAAGCTCAGAAAATAGAAACTAGATACCCATTCTCTTCAATTATAATAGAACCCCAATCTCTAGTAATAAAATAGGCTCTAGGAAGCTCTAGGCCTCCACCTCTCCAGCCTAGTAGACCCCAAATTTTCCCTGATAGTTCTACTTTGAAAATTCTTGCAAAGGATTCTGATTGACTGAACCAGGTTACAATGACTATGCTTAGAAACATGCTGGTGCCCTGGGGACACTAACTAACTTCTGTTCCTTTGGCAGTACAGCAAGGACTGTTTCAAGAAGAAAACACTGGCCAAATACAAGAGCTACCATAGTACCTCTATCTAAGGGTAAAAAAACCTAAATGACAGAAGTGAAACAGTTAGAAAAATGCCATTCACCCAAGGAACAAAGAAATGGCAGCTATTATTAACTTACCTGGCTGTGAAGAACTTACCAGTTAATCTCACCTGCTTGTTATGCCATCCTTTAATCTTAGCCAAATTCTGAAAATTGAAAAAGACAAACTGACTCCTATTCAATTCAGAAGGCCATTTATTGAAAGAATACAATGATGTTACAAGGATACATTTCATGTAGTCCTAAAAGGCTGCCTTCCTCAGTGCAGAGTGCACGATTGCTGGTACTAGGAAAGCCTCTGCTCAGTAAGCCACACATTCATCGTGGCTCCCTCTCTGTCAATGAAGGTGTGCTGAGATTCTGAGTGGTGGTTAGGATCTAGGCCAGGCCACACACACACACACCAGGGGTCTCTTTTGGGTTTTGTGGAACCACAGTTTTATAAATTTCAGTAACAATGGTTCAGCTCTCAGTTGGTCTCAATTCAGGCCATCCCCTCCAAGTAGTTCACTACAGGGATTCCCAGTCAACAACAGGTTCCTGACAGGTTCTGTAGCCACTCAGTAGGGAAGGACGTAACTACAATTATCTGTTGTCAAACTATGTATCAGACCACATGAACATGGCTGTGACCTATGTGCTTAGTGTGGAGCATCATAAACAAGGCTTTCTTCCTAATGGCTAACATCTTGGAAGGACAGATCTGCTACGGAATACGCCATCCATCTGAAAGACTTATTAGGCTGTACATATCACATTTCAGCTCCCATGCATATTGATGTTTCCCCCCAATGATGAAGAATACTAGAGAGCTACCTCGTGCCATCCAAGATAAGAGGGCAGTGGATTCTACTATCTGGCATGCAAAGAAGCCAGCAGAAAAGGCTGATGATCAACATCATTCATATTACCCCTCCCTGAGGATCATTAGGGCTGGGAAAATTTAATGTGTGGAGGGGTGGATCTTGTGTGAAAGGGATCAATATTCACCATTGCTTCCAAATTTGTCTGTATTGTTGCTATTGGTGAACCAACAAAGTTCTGGAAATTCCTTAGGGTAACTGATGGGAAGCACTAGTGGACATTAAGGATTAAAGTGAGCCACTGAAATTTAAATTCATGCTTTACTGATGGAAAAGAACCATGGAGATAAAACAAGTTTTATTTTTTAGTGGATACATATTTCCTTCACGCATGGTATCAGCCTAAACATGCTGTTTTTCTAAACTGAGTCAAAGATAGAATTTATGGCAATGGGTAACTGAATTTATACTTCTCTATAACAAAACTAATTTAGGAAACAATTCACTTAGTTTTCTGTACTTTTCCCATTGATCTCATATAGGAAGGTTGGAGCAGTACTTTTTCATGGAAATGAAATTAAAAATACACTTTGAAAAAACTTCATAGTTCTATAAAACTAATACTGCAGAAAGTAAAATTATAACTGGGAAAGGGAAAAAGTCATTGGCAGATTACTAAAGTTTCTATTAACATTTTGGTTTGTAAGCATCCAACAAATATCCTTGAATGAGTCTGTGACAAATTTGTATACATTTTTCTGCCTTTTAGGAATTACAATGCATCCAACTCATGGTGCTTATTAAATGTCTGGGTATCTGACTTATTTAACGTTTACTTAAAAACCCTGTGAATTCCAAAATACCTTTTAGATAGCAATGCTTCAGGCCAAAGATCCACAAAACCTTTCTCCACCCAGCTGTGCCACAAGCTGTTCCACGTTGTGCAAACCACTTCAGATCTTTGGTTTTTGGTCCTCTTTGTCTGCATAATAAAGTGATTGGGTCAGCTGTGAATTCCTCAAGTTGGAATTGGTTTCCATGGAGAATTTCATGTAGAAGTTGAGAGCAAATGTTAAGCAATGTTTAAAACAAATTTTGGTCTTTACTTTGTAGGAATTTTTTTAAAAGGCTGTAGACTGAGACTTACACATCAAGTTGTCAAAAGTTGGTGATCTCCTGCATACCTATATTTGGAAGCTTTGTAAATGCCAATAAATAGGCATGCCATTTCCAAATGGCTACCTATGTTGTCTGTACATTTTATAAAAGCCTATAATCAGATATAAGAATGAGGATTTTAACTTATTAAAAATTGTTCAGTGGCACAATTTTCTCCACATACAACATACAAACACACATAATTATATCCTCAGAATTTCTCTCCAGTAAGAATCCTGATATTTAACTGGAACAGTATTTTCTACACATTCTTTAATTTTAGGGTTCCTGCAGTTTATTTCTTGCATGAATTCTCTGGTGTTTAGTAAGAGCTGAACTTCGACTAAAATTCTTCCCACATTCTTTACAAGAGTAAGGTTTTTCTCCAGTATGAATTCTTTGATGATCATGCAGGTTGGTTTTCTTCCGGAATGCACGCCCACATTCATTACATTCATAGGGCTTTTCTCCAGTATGAGTTCTCTCATGCTGAATAAGGGATGAACTCTGACTGAAAGCTTTTCCACAGTCAATACATTCATAGGGTTTCTCTCCAGTATGGGTTCTCTCATGCTGGGTAAGTGATGAGCGTCGACTGAAGGCCTCTCCACATTCATTACATTCATAGGGCTTCTCACCTGTATGAATCCTGTGATGTTCTATGAAACTTGTACTCCTTTTGAAAGCCTTTCCACATACATTACATTGATAGGGTTTCTCTCCAGGATGAGAAATAAATTGTTGATTAAAAGGCTGCTCACAATCATATGGATTCTCTCCAGTATGAATCCTCTGATGGTCAGTAAAGTCTGTAATGTGACTGAAGTCTTCCCCACAGTCATTACAATGGTAGGACTTTACCTCAGACAGTGCACTTTCATCTTGAGTAAGAGAACTGTGCTTAAAATCTAGGCTATAGTTATTGTTTTGGTAAGGTTTGCCTCTTTTATGAATCCTCATATGTTTATAAAGGGATGGGCTCTGACCAAAAGCCCTTCCACATATGCTACATTCAAAAGGTTTCTCTCCAGTGTGAGTCCTCTCATGTTGGACAAGTGAAGAACATCGACTAAAAGCTTTCCCACATTCCTTACACTGGAAGGGCTTCTCTCCACTATGTGTGACTTCATGTTGAGTAAGGGACGTACCATGCCTAAAGGATCTCCCACAAAGATTACATCGATAGGGCTTTTCTCCAGTGTGAATTCTCTGATGCTGAACAAGGGAGGAGCTGCGTTGGAAGGCTTTCCCACAGAGACTGCACTGATAGGGTTTCTCTCCCGTATGAGCATTCTCATGCTGACCTAGGGATGAGCTATGCCTGAAGGCTTTTCCACACACATTACACTCAAAGGGTTTTTCTCCAGTGTGAATCCTCTGATGCTCAGTAAGCTGTGTCTTCCAGAGGAAAGTTTTCCCACAGTCAGTACATTCATGGTGTTTCTTGCCAGGATAAATTCCCTGACCTGTACCATTAGGGAACGTGTCTTCTCCTTTATGAGTTTTCTCATGTTTAGTAAGTGATGATCTATGAATAAAGGCTTTTCTACATTTATTACATTTATAGGGCTTCTTTTTTGCAAGGATATTATTTTGATTAAGTAAGTCTGAATTATGTCCCAAATTGTTTCCAAGTGTTCCATATTCACTAGGCCTTATTCTTGAAGGAATATTCAGTTGTGGAATCAAATCTATGTTCAATCTAGAGTTTTCACCAAATTTATTTTGCTCAAAATTTTCCTCTGGGGTGGTTATTTTCTTCTGTGTAGATACTTCTGGCCCAAGATATCTCCTCCAATTTTCCTGGTGCCTCTGTAGCTGGCTACTAACATTCCAGGCATCTTGTAATGAGATATGTGAGAAATCATCTGTGCTAAGGAATACTTCAGATGTGCTGTGTTGCAGCCTTGATGATTTAGTTTCTGGCCTTGTCTTCCAGTCTGAAAAGAAATACAAAGTGCAAAAGTTCCCTATTCCTTCCTATTGAAACAAACTGCTACAAAAGCAATGAAAAAATGAGAGGGATAAATTATGCATGACTATGTTTTGAAATTAGTCCTATAGCCTGTGGCAAAGACCAAAATACAGGAAGGACTAGTACGGAAAGGTGACAGTGAAGACTGCAGATCCAGAGTATGCTGAAAGTCAAGAATGAGGAAAGCCCATATATGTAGGCTGGTTAGGGAACAAGGGTAGAAGTGAGCGTGAGGGTGTAGGCATAGATACAACTGGAATAGGATCACAGGGCATGTTGCAGGATCCTATCTAATTCCCGTACCTATTATCCAATTTATAAAATCCCCCAGAACCCCCACAAAATCTACCTTTTTAAAAAAATGTACTGGGGACTGAAACTTGGGCCCCTGCACTGAGCTGCATCCCCACCTCTTTTCATATTTTGAGAGAGTTTCACTAATTCACTGAGTTGCTCAGGCTGGGTTTAAACAGATTCTCTTGCAGCAGTTTCTCAGAGTTCTGGGATTACAGCTGTGTACCAGGAGGCCACTTTATCTTCAAAGTAACTTCTGAGTTGCCAGGTCTTTAAATACTGCAGAGAAAATCTGCAGCCATTGATCTAACCAAAAATATTATATTTGGAGATCAAGGACTATACAAACTCAGAAAAATGTTTCAGGTGACATCTTTTCTTTTACAACTATAGCTGTGGTTTCAGTCTGAGCTTTTGATTCTACACTCATCACCTCTCTTAACCTGAAGGATTTATTTCAGTCTGATTAATAAATGTGCCTCTAAGTCTGTTTTTAACCTCAGAATATTAATACCAGATAATTAATTTATTTCTAGGATCTAAGAATGGTAACCTTAAGACCTGAAGGGTAAGAAGCTTTCTTGAACAATGGAAATGTCACCTATCAATAGGAATTTGAGTTAGAAGGAGAAAGCATTTGTCAAAACCAACTAAATGGTACATATAAGAGGTGTATTTTTCATTGTATGCACCATATTCTTAAAGAAATCAACTATAAAAATACTAAATAGTAATGATGTGTGTAGAAGAGAAATGTACTGTTGTTGCCAACCTCCTTGGCAATGTATCAACAAGTAAAATGGTTTGATGGACAGATGAAATGGTATGTGATAATGCAAACTGTAAACAGCAAATGTAACAATCTTGGTGGCATGTATATGGTGTCCTCTGTATTTTTTTCCAACTTTTTTATGTATTTGAAAATTTTTATAAAATGCTCTAAGGGGAAAAAAACAATGAAGGGACCCTAACCCCCACCAAAGTCCTTACTCTGAAAAAAAAACCAATTTTATGTGTCTGTTTTTTGGTGCTGGGGATTGAACTCAGGACCTTGCTCTTGGGAGGAAGGCAACGGAACCACTGAGCTAAATCCCGGGCCCCTAAAAAGAATCAATTTCAAGCTCATAGGGCAGAGAATGCTTTGTCTTTTTGTTTGTTTGGTTTGGTTTCTGTGGCACCAGGGATTGATCTTAGACAAGTTCTCTACCACTGAGCTATATCTCCAGTCCATTTTATTTCAAGACAGAGTCTCACTACGTTCCTTATGCTGGCTTTGAATTTGTGATCTTCCTGCCTCAGTCACCCATGTAGCTGGGATCACAGGCCTGTGCTGCTGTGCATGGCTATATTTTTTTAAGAATCTTTCTCAGTAGGTCATTCAAAAAAGTTTGTCAAATGAAAAGAATGAGAAAATGTCCCCCCAGCCAGATGCCATACCAAATCAATTTCTGACTGTGTTCTGCATACAAAATATATAAAAATATAACTGAGTTTGAGTTTGTATAGTAGAGATGTTACGACTGGTATTTCTCATCAGGGAAGAAATAAATATATTAATATATTTTAGGTTTCATGGATTAGATAAGATTTTTGAACTCAAAGAATAGATGGCTTTGGACAGGAAGACTGTCATGAGGGAAAGTATATGTTATTTCCAGGAAAACAAATAAAAGATGTTCAACCTAAGAAGACCTTTCTTTTAGCACAAATAAAAGGTAATTCTGAAAGATCTAACAGACCTTTAAATCAAGGATTTTCTATTTCTTATAATGAGGTACAGGGAGTAATAGCAAGGTTTTTTTCAGAAGCAGGTGATTTATGCAGATAAAATATTAAAATCCAATTATTTTCTATCAACTGGAGAATTTAAAAAAAAGGTGGCATATCCATACCATGGAATATTACTCAGCAGTAAAAAGGAACAAATCACTGATATATGCTATAACATGAATCAACCTTGAAAACATGTTAAGTGAAAAAAGCCAGTCACATGTTATATGATTCAGTTAATACAAAATGTCCAAAGGGACAAATCCACAGAGACATAAAGTAGATGAACGGTTGCCAGGGGCTGGGAGAAGTGGGGGATTGGGTGTGACTCTTAATTGGCCTGGGTGATGAAAATGTTCAGATGTTTTGCATGACATAGGGAATAACACAGTGATGATGTATGCACAACTCTGTGATACACACGCAAAAACAATGACATGTATACTTCAGAAGAGTGACTCTTCTTGCAAGCGCAAGGTCCCGAGTTTGATCCCTGGTACTAAAAAAAAAAAAAAGAAGAGTGACTCTTGCTTGGTGGCACACACTTGTAACCCCAGTGCTTAGGAGGCTGAGGCAGGAGGATTATGAGCTCAAGGCAAGTTTGGGCTACACAGAGATTTCAAGGCCAGCATGAAATATATAGTGAGACCCTCTATCAAAGGAGAGGGGGGAGGAGGAGAAGGAGGAAACAGGCTGTCTCTTATGTGAATTATACCTGGATAAAACCTTAATTTAAAAACTAGCCAATATAGATTTAAAAACAAAGAATGAGTAATTTCATCTGGAAGGGATATCAGGCTGTAATGTTTCCTACAAGTTGGGGCCATCCAACAGTGAAAGCACCAAGACAAAACAAGGAGAAGACATGGGAGTTCACGTCTGAATAAGAAAAGGCCTCTCTCCATAATGAAAGGAATCTGAGGACACCAGCGAAGAAAATAACCCAGCAAGATAAGATAAGCAAAAATGGTATTCTGAGCCAGGGCAAAGGCTACTTTTAGAGAAGAAAAAGGGGTAAGTGTTTCTCTAAGACCTACCGACAACAGAGCACTCTCCTGGAGAAGAGAGGCATGGAGAGCTGTCACTCAGAAAATGGGTCCAGCTTCCTTGGCAGGTCTAGGAGCTCCCCAGCCAGCTGCTTCAAGAGGCACTACCTCAAGCTACGTCACTGTCTGCATGATTCCTACTCATTTACCTGGACAGAAAGGTCTTTGGATTTCTCCCTCTGATATCCATGGCTCTTCTCCTTGCTCCAATTTGAAGATCACCTCTGGTTTGGAAACTTGATATCCTGCTCGTGGGTAAATACACAAGAGTGTTTGTGCAAGTGGACAAAGAACCTTCCTACAAGTCAGTACTAGTCTTGGTCCTCGGGAACTCTGAAGGAAAAGAAAGGTGCAACTTAAGGAGTCATGCAAAATGGCTATATCCAGTTCCGCAAAATAAAGACCTATCATCTAAAGCGCAGGCACAAAACCCCAGAAGGCTAGTTCCCAAAGACATGGACAGGCTTTAGCCCCTGGGCACCCTGCTCACAGTTACCTAGGCTATGAGCACAGCGAGGGAAATGGACCTTACCAAGAGAAACCAGGTGGCTATAGTTCTCCAGCATCACATCCCTGTACAAGCTTCTCTGGGAGGAGTCCACGTGGTGCCATTCTTCCCGGGTGAAATCCACAGCCACATCTTTGAATGTCACCGATTCCTGCAGGATCACAATCTTGCTCAACAACATCAATGTTCCCAAGGCAATACTAGAAACATACTGCGGGATCTATCAGAAGCAGTGATCATGTGCTTGCTCTCCTGAGCGGGCAGTGTTGGGTTATATATGCTAGTCATCCACACAATGTTGTAAAGGATCTAGTGTATCTGTTCAGAAGTCACGAGGGGCAATTTGTCTTACAAACCTGCATCCCCACTTATCTGCCTTCCTGGCTGCTTCCAAGCCAAGCTTTTTTACACAGTCACTAATTCCTCACTGCCTAAAACCCAGACTTGGTGGGGAGTGAAAATTGATAGCCCTTTGTTTCCAAAACAAATCCATCCCCAGAAATAATCACTCTTAATATTTTGGTTTATACACTTAAAAATCTCTTGTTCAAGTTTTACACACACATACACACACACACCCTACTCAGACTTGTTTTATGAAACAATCATATACTGTTCTACAATTTGCTTTTTATATTTGACTATGTATCCTGGAGATCCTTCCATAGTGGATACATAATTTCACCTTATTGTTTTACAGTCATCCATTACAGTTGTATCACAAGATACCTACTACCTAAAACTAACAGCATCTCACTATACTAAGAAGAAATTCAAGCTCTCTTGCCACTAATTTCAGAATGGCTAGTGCCAAGCATGTTGAGACTGTCCGGATTATCTGGGCAACTTTTAAAAATTGTCCATGAATGAGGGGCTCTACAAGGCATCTTTTAAAAGTTCCTCAGGGTTGGGCGTGGTGGTACACACCTGTAATCCCAGCACCCAGGTGGCTGAGGCAGGAGGATTTCCAAGAGTCCCAGGCCAGCCTCAGCTACACAGTGAGTTCAAGGCCAGCCTGAACTGCATATTGAGACTCTGTCTCAAAAAAAAAAACAAAAAACAAAATTCGTCAGGTGGATCAAGATATTATATAGAACAACAGAGAAGATTTACTGAACATTCACTATAGGCTAGGCACTGAGCTCAGTCACTGTGTGCGCTCTCTTTATATTTCCTCACTGAAGTCTATTGCCACCCCACAGGAAGCACTGGTTTTGAAGTGTGACCCTGGTCAAGAACCACTGCTTAGCACACAACAAGCACTCCAAAATCATCTGATGAGGGAATGTTGAATAGTTCTTGCTGAAGGGAAACAAGGAGTGGTTCTGAGGGTAAAATAGGTACGAGTTAGAGCCAGGCATAGTGGTACATACCTGTAATCACAGTACTCTGGGAGGCGGAGACAGGAGGATCCCAAGTTTAAGCCTTGCTTGGGCAATGTAGAGAAAACCTGTCTCAAAATTTAAAAGGCTAAGGCCAGGGCCAGTGCTAAGGCCCTAGATTCAGTCCCCAGTAAAACACACACACACACACACACACACACACACACACACACACACACACACGACTGTAAATTTTGTTATTTTATGTATATTTTACCACAATTAAAAAAAATAAAAACAAAAAAGATATTGAAGCTAAAAAGAAGTCTATAATAAGCTGGTGTATGGTCCATATTTGTAGTCTCAGCTACTTGGGAGCTGAGGCAGGAGGATCACACATTTGAAATCAACCTAAGCAACTTAGACATTCCAAAATAAAAAGAGCTGAGGATACAGCTCAGTAGTAGAGCACTTGCCTAGCATGTGTGAGCACTGGTTCAATTTCCCAGACTATAAGAAAAACAATCTAAAACAAAAGTTAAAGGAAAAAAAAGTATTTTTAGATATATATTATATATACCCTCATAGTAAGGTCTATTTTAATAAAATAATAGTAATACAAGACAACAGTCAAGAAAATATTCTAACTTTTGAAATCAGTCTCAATGGAATAGGTTTAGATAATCTTAACATTAAGGACAAAATTTTTAAAAAACTCTTCCGTGCAAGGGACACTGCTTTATGAAATTATTTTATCACAAAATTAGAGTTACTGTAACTGGAAAATATAATTTCTACCATATTAGGAACAGAAAGTATAAATTTGATGCTGGGGGTTAAGTGCTTCTGAATGTCCATTCATACAATACTCACTTATATTTACTCTGGAGCAACGGAAAAAGAAGTTGGACAACCCTGCCCTAGAGGTGCTCGAAGCCTGGTCCAGAGACAAGTGTGTAAGCATGCCATCCCACAGGATGTGAGAACAGTGCTGTCACAGGCTCTCCGGGAAAGGAGAAGGGCTTGTGACCTTACTCTAGGGAAGATACGTCCAAGTGAGGCTTAAACACCAGCTCTGTTCAGCTTCGGAAGAGGCTGGGAAAGAGGATCTCTGCATGAAGGTGCTCTGATATTCTTGATCACAAACATCCTGGCCTGATTCAACAAGAGGCTTGGTTTCCCCCGGTGACCCAGGAGCATTATGTCTGAATGTGGGTGACCCGAGCCAAGTTTTACAAGTTTTACTGGGTCTTTTCTTTGAGATGATCTAACCACAGAGCCCTCAGGATCTGAAGTCAACAGAGACCAGGCTTTGACCCCTCCCCATTTCCTCCCCATCAAGGAAAAATACCATGAGACCGGGTCTTCATGGAAAATGCCATTCTCCTCCCTAACTAAAAATGCAGTACAGGTGTAATAAAAAAAAAGGCAACAAGAATGCAGAGCGTTTACACAAATGTAGCTGCCAACAATACTAACGTAGCTGCTAACAATCCCATTGATGCCAATGACTCTAAGAACGTGTCCCATCTCTTCCATCGCTGTCTTCTCCTCTACTTCAGGCAGAGCCACTGCAGCTCTTTATCAACTGCTCACCAAAACACCTCTCATCAAACACCTCTCCAAATGAGCTCCAACTTTCAAATATTCCCCTACGATTCAACATGCATGGTAATCTCTGTATCTAACAAAAAGTCACACTAGTTTCTTACCCAAAACTATCAGCTCAAGCTGCCTCCCTGCAGCTCCTTGAATGTACCAGACATACTGATACTTTCCCTATTCCCACCATGATCTTCCCCTGACATCTGCATCTGTGACTCCTTCGGCTCTTGTCAAGTCTGCTCAGATGTCACCATCTCAGTAAGAATAAGGTTCCAGTAACCTGACCATTCTGTTTAAAACTGCACCCTCATCACAAGCTCTCCACCTACCCGCTCCATCTCTTTTAGCTTTCTTTTTCTCTTAAAGCTATAGTCTTTTAGGATACCCTAAAATGTATGTATTGAATTCTTCTGTCTCTTGTTTCTAGAATACAAGTGCCATGAGGGCATCCTTATGAATTTTGTTCACTGAAGTTCCCCAGGTGCCTAGACAATTTCTTGGCACATAATAATGTCTCAATGACTTGTCTCTTAAAGGAATGAATGAGTGAGTTACAAGGCCAAAAAGAAACAAATCCAAACTCCTTTCTACCTACTGTCAGCAACCCATACCACCTGCTGACAGAGAGGACAATGGTTTTCTGAAAATGCCCCCACATCTTCTTGTCTCTCAACCCTCCTGACACAGAAAAGTCAGCTCTTCATTCTTATTTATTTAGACTCTACACTTATTCAAAGGACTGATTCATGCCCCCTCTCTGAACTCAGAGGAGCTCTGCAGTACACTTCTGCCTGTTCACCCCCACTGAACTGTCAGCCAGGGTAACAGTCACATGAATCATTATTCAGTTTTGCATTTCCTTCAGGACCATGCTTAGAGAAGAACTACCGATAAAGGAAATTTTGACCTAAAAACTCCCACTTGTAGGGCAGGTGTTCTGTTTTGTCCTTCATCTCTGATGGACACCTGCAGCTTGTGTTAGATAACTTAAAAGAACCATCAGGTGATTCCAGAGCAATGTAACTGAGTCAGAAGAGTGCTTAGCAAGCATGGCTGTAAAAGTGAAGTTTAATGTGGTCCCTAAAAATCACTGCTCAAAACACATATCCACTTTCACCATTAAAAAAGGCAACAGAAGCCGGGAGTGGTGGCGCACACCTGTAATCCCAGCACTCACGAGGCTGAGGCAGGAGGATCGCTATGAGTTCAAGACCAGCCTGGGCTACATAGTGAGTTCCAGGTCAGTCTCAACTATATAGTGAGGCCCTGTC